AACCCTAAACCGTACTCTAATTATTAAGGCCCCTATATTAGATATGGATGGCGCCTCAAGTCTGGCAGCCCCTTAAACCCTAAACCCTAAACCCTAAACCCTACTCTAATTATTAAGGCCCCTATATTAGATATGGATGGCGCCTCCCCCTTAAACCCTAAACCCTAAACCCTAAACCCTAAACCCTAAATCCTAAATCCTAAACCCTAAACCCTACTCTAATTATTAAGGCCCCTATATTAGATATGGATGGCGCCTCAAGTCTGGGGCATCCTTTTGAGGTGGCGGTTTCATCGGATTCCGTTCGAAAGAACTGGGCTGCGGCCTCGGCATGGGCCTTTTGAATTCAAGCACGGCCCTTTAGCAGTGAGGATCCTGGTGGGGGTTTTGGGTTTAGGATTTTGGGTTTTGGGTTTAGGGTTTTGGGTTTTGGGTTTAGGGTTTAGGGTTTTGGGTTTAGGGTTTGGGGTTTTGGGTTTAGGGTTTAGGGTTTAGGGTCTATCCAAGTGGATATCGACACAGGTTGACTAGCGTTGGTAGCTTCCAAGTAGCTCCAGTTGATAACGGCCTCCCCTAGCTGAAGACTAGATACGAATTAGGGCTCGGCATTGGGGTTTTGCACATGGTTTAATATTCGCTTTTGGGGTTTAGGGTCCGGGTTGTGGGTGCATGGTTTCGAGTTGGCTTCGTACTCCGAGGCGTCCCCAAAATCCGAAACCCTGTAAACCCGAAACTCTCGTCCCTAAACCATAAACCCTGCTGACATGCAGACTCAACAGTAGTGTGTGTCCCTTCTGGGGTGGGAGCAAAAAGGTCCGTCACACTGTTAAAGAACCATAAACCCTAAGCCCGTACACCGTTTACAGAGATGTGAGCCCTAAACCCTAAAGCCAAACCCTGTATGCTTCTCCTGAAACCGCAACAAGTTGGAAACCGGATTAAGGACAACTAGTGCTGGGATTCCCTACACATTACTCTTAGGGGGATTGAGACTATTGGGTTTCCAACTTTGGGGCTTCTACTGTACCTAAACCCTAAACCCTAAACCCTGGCTCAAGCCAATTTTGGCTCAAGGCCCCCATAGTGCGCCTGGAGTCAGGTCGTGCCCCGTTCGGACCAGGTCATTGGGTTGCGGCTCGTGCTGTGCTTCGGTCAGATTCGGGGGTTTGCGGTTCAGCTCGGCGGGTGCTGCGGGCGCTGAAGGACCTCGATTACGCGATCCTGCCCGCGATCAACGCGGTGGCTTCCAGAGAGGCATGGCCGGGCAGCTTCAGTTGGGGCGAGGTGGCGGAGGCCCGCCAGGGATCGGTGGCGGAGGGGTGCCTTCGGTGCCAGAGAGCTCCGGGGATGATTCCAGCCCTAAGAGGCGGCGGAGTGCTGAGCCGAGTGCTGCAGTTGGAGTCCGAGGTAAGAAAAACAAAGCCCCTACGGACGGCTTCGATTGGGGGGCACTGAGGGCGCTCCTAGGCGAGCAGAAGGAGGCCATCGTGGCAGAGACAAGGGAGCAGGCAGCTTCCCTGATCCAGGCCCTGGACCGCAAGGTTGATGTGAAGTTCCAGCAGGTCGATACCAGCCTGGACGCTATGGCCAAAAGGATGCAAACTGCCCGCTTTACGGATTCCTCGGCGTTTACCACCGGCCCCCGCAGGAGCGTTGCACTCATGAACTTTGACATTCGTGCTGGGGAATCAGATGTGGATCGCCGGCGCCGCATGCATGCTATCGTGGCTGGGATTGCAGAGGCCAAACCCTTCACTTCGCACAAGCGTCGCTTGTGGGCCAGCTACTCTAAGAGTAAGCGTGAGCGCGATCTAGCGGGCCATTGCTCCTGGGTCAAGCGCACGCTGGGGAGTTTCGACAGAGATCTGGTTCAGCGCCTGGACGTGGAGTATGGCTCAGGGACCGCGTGGATGGGGGATAAGGTCGTTGCCAGTGCGACGCGGGCTGCACCTACGAACACTGCCGAGGACTTGATCTTGTGGGACGACGACAAAACAGGGAACAGGCCTTGGATTGACCTGGGAGCCATGGCTAAGATCAGCGGGATTTCGGTGGTCGATCTCAGAGCTGGCTTTGCGGATCAAAAACGCTGAACCTTGGATGACTCCTTCGCGAGCTTGGTGGGAATTGGCCAAGAAGCGCGAGACTCTGCTAAACAGGTGGAGCCTTGTGGCAGGCGGGCTTTGCATGATGATTTTCTTTTGGATGCGGGGGACCATGGGCGGAACACAAGCGCTCAGAAGCCTCCCCTGGATCATGTGGCAACCTTTGCGTTCACGGCCTGGAACTTGGGTGGGACCTCGGTAACTGACTATCCCCAGGTGGTGGCCGATGTGATGAAAGGGTTGCAGCAGGACACCTTGCTTTCTTTTCAGGAACTCAGCCGTGTCTCGCCAGGTTGGCAAACTAGCTACCATCAGGGTTGGGCTACGGTACACCATCGGCACGAGGATGTTTGGAGGGGATCGGGCATTTCCTACCGCACAGCCAGATGGCAGGTGATGCGGAAAAATCTACTGGCCGAGGGGTTTGGATACGACTGCGTCATGTTACAGGGTTTCAAATCTGGGCGGGTACTGCCCACTTCACGCCAGGCTGCACACAGCCACAACACGCTAAAGAAGTTCACGAACATCTGGCCGGCTTGCCGCCTACATCACTTCCGGTGCTGTTCTCCTGCGACTTGAATGCTGAGATTGCATGGGGGTTTGACGAGGATGGGATCTGTAGAGCCTTGGGTAACAATGGTAAGACGGAAGATTTCCTCGGACAGTCCTTGCACAGGAACCTTCAGCCGATACCGCCAAGGCCACAGGACTTCACTACGCCGACAAGCCGGCCGAGGCAGGCGCATCGGGAGGGCCGACAGATCGATTGCATTCTGGCATCCAAGGGGGTGGCGAAACGGGTACACATTCACAAAGACTCCTACATGGCGGTTGGGACTGATCATGAGCTTCTCTCTACGGAAGTTGCCATTCATGGGAGCCGACAGGGGACTCTGCACAGTACGCTGCCAAGGGTTTGGATCTCGGGACCGCCTCGCATATCTCAGGTTACGCACTCGATCCTGGTTGACCTCGCCAAGACGACGACCAAGCCCAGACCCGGGCACGCCTACAAGGACCCGGCACAAGTGAAGGAGGCTTTTTCTAGGGCTAGGGGTGACAAGCTACCGGCTTCCTGGACTGCTGCACGTAACCTGCGCAAGAAGGCACGGCGGCACTGGGAACAGGAAAGGTTGCAACGAGCCACTGCGGGCGACTGGGCTGTTGTCCGCCAGCTGAGGCCTACGAAGCACAGGGGGTGGGACGCAACCTTTGCTGAGGCACAGAACGGGAAGGACCCTCATCAGGTCGTCCACGAGCACCTTGAGAGCATTTACACAACGGGGCTCGTCGTCCCTCCCCTGCCTGCCTGGGAAGGGGAGGTTGTGCCCTTCACTGAGGACGAACTGCGTTGGGCCCTGAGCAGAGGCAAACCGAATAAGGCTGTTGGGGTGGATGGTACTAGCCATGAGCTGCTTCAAGGGGTTGCAAACACACCAGGAGGATTCGAAGCTCTGCTTGCCTTTTACAACGAGATCTACGCTCATGCCTCCATACCTCAGGACTGGAATGTGGCTTTGATGATTGTCATACCTAAGGAAGAGGCACCGGTTGAACCTGCGTCCCTCAGGCCGCTGGCCATGGGGAGCGCGGCATCCAAGGTTTACAGCCGACTGCTTTTGGGACGCACAGTGCCATGGCTTCAAGCAGGGGAGGGCGCACAATGCAGTGGGGAAGGGAAGCAACCGGCGGAGTATGTCTTTGGGATGTCCAGGGTGATGGAACTGGAAGCAGAGTGGCACAAAGGGCTGGTTGCAGCTAAGATTGACATACGCAAAGCTTTCGACATGCTGCACAGGCCGGCGCTTCTTTCTCGATTGAAGCAAGCCATAGGGGATGGCCCAACCTTCCGCAGCTGGCAGGCAATGCTGGCTGACACAACGGCTGTACTACAAACCAGCTGGGGATGTTCACGCCTCCAGCTGGACAGGGGTATTAGGCAAGGGTCTGTGGAATCTCCCATCTTGTTTGGCTGGTTGGCGGCTCTCATCCTACGTGATGTCAAATGCAAGCATGCCTGGCAGGACCGACACCGGGTATTCGACCAGTTGGAGTGCCAGGACCTGCTGTTCATGGACGATGGACTGCTGTGGGCCCACACCAGTAAGGAAGTCTCTAGACGCCTTGAGGAATGGGCTGCTGAACTTGCAGTGCATGGCCTCAAGCTGAACCCCGCGAAATGCAAGGCCTACTTTTCCCCCTATTGTGTGAGCCAGTCGCCGGTCTCGGTGAATGGCAACCTCGTCCCCCAGGTTGAAACACTGGAGGTTATGGGCGTTCCTTTCAGGGTTGGGGCCTCGGCGTCCGAGCTCCTGGCGCCCTTCCTGGCCCGGGGGCGCGATAAATTCTGGTCGCTAAAACACCTACTGCGAGCCCGCACTCCGCTCACAGGCAGAATCCTCTTGCTGGACAAGATCATCGGTGGCACTTCGTTGTGGTGCCTGAGCGCTTTGGCGCCAGACGCATCGGCCTTGGCCTTACTCAACAGCATGCAACTTCAGTGCGTGGTCTGGGCAATGAGGGTTGGAAAGAGGCACGACGAGGGTTGGCTGAGCTTCAAACAAAGGGCTTTCAGGGGAGCCAGGCAGGTTGTCTGGCGGGTGCTGCGCAGGAGATGGTCCACAGTGTGGTTGGAAAGATGGTGGAATTTTTCTGGACACAGAGCCAGGGCCTTGGACAGAGGGTTGGTGCCGCACTCTTCCCTCATCGACGACTACAGGAATAGGGCCTGGTGGACTAGGGAGCAGCACCTTACGCGTGGGGTGCGTCACCCGAGGCATTTCCCTAAGTTATCGAACCTCGAGAGGGACATGGACAAGGCGGCCGGGGGTCAGCAATGGCGCAGGGTTGCAAGGGACAGATTGCAGTGGGCTGGTCGCTGTCAACATTGGGTGCGGTTAATGGACCCACCATGGGCAGGGAGTAGGCAGGAGCGACTGCAGGGATGAGGGACATGCGCTGTGGAGTGAGTGAAGGTTGCAAGCCTGATTACCTCCGCAGCGCGCAGTGCTGACATTCCTAAGCCACGACCGCGCACTCTTTCATCGGTGCCTCCTGATGTGGGGCTTTCTTTTTGTGCTGGCCGCTTGGCGTGCTGCGGATGCCGCGGTGAACGCCGAGGCCGGCGACCTCGCAGCTTTGGAGTATGACAACGACACGACCCACGGCTTCGACTTTGACACCCTCCAGCAGCGGGACCTCATGGCCATGCCCGACGGCCCCCACCGGGAGTCCGACCCTGATATGGCAGTCACCCAGGAACACCCTGATGATGCACCCCCGCATGAGATCGTGGAGTTGACGAAGGAGCCGGAGCACGATGGCACCAACCTCATGCAAGCCGGTGCCACCAACCCTATTCACACAGGGGAACGAGCCAGCTGGGAAGTCATGTTGGCCAACCTGCAGCACGACCTTGAGATGCTGCCGAAGCCTCAACGTGCTGAGGCGACTGTGCAGTTGTTGCGCTGGCTTGACTATCGAGCCACGGATAAGGAGCAGGGCTACTTCTTGGGACACATGAAGGGAAGAACGGCTGATCTGACGGCTTTGCTGGTGGCAGCGCTGGATGACACTGGGGTTGATGCCTCAACCGTCACTGGCCCCTGGTGCTCGTCATGGGTGCTCGAGACCCGGCGAAGGCTGATGGAGTTTATTCCATGCCATGAAGGATCCCATGAAAGCTGGGGGAAACCAATGGAAAAGGGGATGCCTTGCATTATGCTGTTTGGACGGCCGCCGCCGACGAACACGCCACCTTCCTCGCCGGGGCTCAGCGCGGTGGTGGACCTTGAGGAGGAACAGCAGCATGGGCAACCCAGCAAGCGACGCTGCTTGGCGGTCGAACTCAGTTCGGGATCCGGAGACGCTCCCAGGCTCTCCCGGACGATACTCATGCCCTTCCCAGGTGACGATTGCAGTTTTCAGGTGAACGTCAGGGTGGAAGAGACGGACGAAAGTGAAGCTGCCACAGTGGTACTACAACCGCACACACCCACCAGGACTCGCCGAACCTCGTGGGCTTCAGATTGCCGGAGCCGGCGCCCGGCGACTTGGCAGCCTCGGGGATCTCCATGAGTGACTTCATGGGACTGTGGACGGGGTGGAGGTCTGGGTCCATCACCTATGCAGATGTTGCCAGGGTGTACGGCGACTGCGCGGCCCAGTTGGTCCAAGGACTCTGGGCTGACCTACCCTCCGAAGCCTACCTGAACCCCTCGCCTTTCCCGCTGCAGCAGCAGACCCAGGATGTGGACAGCACTCAAACGCGGGGAGTGCATGCAACGCAGGGACAAGGCCTTGATGGACCTACACCAGAGTCGCACACCAACCCGATGCCGGACTCCACCAAGGACGCTTCGGATGACGAGGGGGCCCTCCTGACTGTCGTGATGCGGGTGCTGCCGGTCCTACGAGCTCTCGCCCCTGAGGTGCCAGTGGTCTGTCAGATGACGACTGTCCAGTTGGCTGCCAGCTGGATTCGGCGACTCCGACAACAAGGACTTGCGAATGTCGAGATCACCAGCTGCCTCCTCAACTTCGCCCAGGCACGAGCGAACAGAGACTACATGTTGGACTGGGAGGACATCCTGTTGGAGTTGGACCTCGAGGTTGAGACCAAGAACGTGCCGAGGACGTACCCCGTGCGGTGGGGGACATGCTACAGTGGGTGGAAGCGGAGATGTGGGAGGACTACGTGGACAGATTGGAAGGACTGGTGGGCTGGGAGTCGCAACAGGTCTCTGACGCCCGAGGGGTTGCCAATATGCCGGAGAATGTCCGCCGGGAGTGGAGGCAACGGGCTGAAAGGGGTGACTTTGACCTGGACTTCACGGTGCAGGCAGTTGGCCGCCGAGTTCGCCCCCGACGAGCACAAGGACGGGATGAGGAAGAAGGCCTGGAGAGCGACGCCCAGTCGCTCATGGAACGGCCGCGTCGGCGAGGGGACCGGAGGGACGACAGCAGGAGCCCGCCGGGGCGTCGAGGGCGAGACGCCACGGAGGCCAGGGGGAGCTCGAGAAGAGGGGTGGACACGGAGGAGGAACGAACGAGGTCACGCCCCCCGGGTAACTCGCGACCCAGCCGGTGCACGGAAGAAGTACGACGGCTTGAACCACGCCGCCCTTATGTACCTCCGCTGGCGCCGAGAACGACCCGGTCTGCCGTGCCCACCTTATCGGTTGATGCGGCGACAGCACGCTGGCTGCACATTCTTAACCTTCGGCCGACACCAACGACTACGACTCTGGAGCCAGCCTTGCCGCAGGACGGCCGCAGACAAGATCGTATTGATTGGCTTGGGACACTGCACGAACAGGATATGGCGGCTGCCATGGCCGGGTTAATGAGGGTGTTGGCAATGCTGATGGTCGAGTGCTCGCACATGCTAGTGACCCACCAGGCGACGTTCCTCGTTTCCGTCGACTTGGAGGAAGAGGAGGACGAGGAGACGATTTACATGCAAGAGCAGTGGACCCTCTCTAAGCGGCGGAAGACCGAAGACGGACCCACGGATGAGGACCTCCGAGATGAACGTGAAGAACAAGCGGCACAACAACACGCCCGAGCGGCTCGAGAACGACAACAGCAGGAACGAGAAGCAGAGGAGGCCGCTTGGGAGGAGGAACAACAGCTGCTGGCAGCCCGGCTCTACGCAGCGCATGAGGCGGCACGGTACAGAGACTGGGAGCAGTGGGAGTTGCTGCACGCTGCGCCACCGGTGCCGCGCAGACAGCAGCTGCGTATTGTGGCCGAGGCCACGGGGCCGCAAGCAGCCAGTTCCTCGTCATTGACTACCCCTTCGGTGCAGGTTTTCCAGTGCGAATTGCCAAGGCTTGCACAGGGCGGCTTCCGGTTGACCCTGGAGATGCACGAGGTTGGCAAGCCGGCTGCTGCTACAACACCAGCAGCCTTGACGACACGGCCGGAGGCTTCTACAACACCTACAGCCGTGACAACGCTGGACGCCCCCACTGCGAGCACTACCCAAACGGATGCTCCTGCTGTGCCTACGGAACAAGCGGAGATCGACGAGGAGGTCCTGGACGCGGCCTACAAAGTCTGGGCAACGGGCGGCTGTTCTGATAGTCAAGTTCGAGCAAGCTATGGGGACGAGATTATGACGGGGTTCCTTGCGCAGTGGCTTTCAGAGCAAGATGAGGGGGAGAGCGGAGGTACAGAGGAGGAGGACCACACAATGCGCAGCCAACAAACAGGGTCGGAGGGGTCAGGCGAGCTGGAGGAAAGACGAACTACGTGAACCAGGTGTTACTTGTTGCCTACAACTGTGGCTCTGAGGGGTTGTTTTCTCACCTGCCTCCCGAGGCTTTCCGACGGCTGACAGCAGGAGGAAAAAGGTGCTTAAAAAAAAAAAAACCCTGAACCCTAAACCCTGAACCTTAAACCCTAAACCCTAAACCCTAAACCCTGAACCCTAAACCCTAAACCCTAAACCCTTAAAAAAAAATACTCTAAACCCTAAACCCTGAACCCTAAACCCTAAACCCTAAACCCTGAACCCTAAACCCTGAACCCTCGACCCTAAACCCTAAACCGCCCGAATGCTCCCACCATTTGGGAACTCCAACCTCGCAACCTACGCCTTTCTAGGGTTTAGGGTTTAGGGGTTTAGGGGTTTAGGGTTTAGGGGTTACCGGTTAGGGGTTTAGGGGTTTAGGGGTTTAGGGTTTAGGGGTTTAGGATTTAGGGTTTAGGTTTTAGGCTCGATTACCTGTCAGAGACTGTCAGCTTATGATACCATGTTACACATTTGTCATGGATCATGCCATGATGTTATATTCTAAAATGGAAATATATCAAATTTCTATGATAGGATACTTTGTTATACTATCAAAGGATACATTACATTCGATGATAAACTTTAGGCCTCCTAACCTCGGAGAACCCGAAGCCAGAACTCAACACCTACTGTTGACGATGCGAATCCTGCATTACCTTAAGGACCCTCAGCAATGGGAATTATGGTACATTCCTAATTATGGGTTTAGGGTCTAGGGTTTAGGGGTAATGCAGGATTTATATCATCTCTGCTGAGGTCCGGGACCTAATTTTCCGCCGTCGCAACCCTGTTCGTCGCATTTCACAACAGGTCCCCGGCTCGCAGAACCTGAGTGGGATTTAGGGTCAAGGGTCTAGGGTTCAGGGCCCTAACCCTAAACCCTAAACCCTTTAGGGTTTGGGGGTTCAGGGTGCAGGAAGAGTTGAGTGCTTTTTGAGAGAGGGTTCGGGCTTCAGGCTCTTGCGTTTGAGGTTTAGTGGCCTATAGAGTTTCATAGAGGCTTGTAATGGGCTTTGCGTTTCGGGATTTCTGCTTTGGGGTGTTAGCGTTTCTTTCGAGGGCTTTACCGCTCATGGTCCACTGGCTTAGTTACGGAGATAGGGTTTCAGGTTTAAGGCTAAGGGGTATTAACGTATGGGAGCCTCGGTAGCAAAGGCTGCAGGTCCTAGCGAGCTGGAATGCTGACACGGTTTAACGTAGGACTTTGAGTCCAATCAAAGCATTCTCTTTCAGCCCCTATCCAATTATAGTATAGTATAGCCAAGACCTTATCATTGCTTATTCAACCGCTTCTGTTTCTACTCGGGTAGTTTGGAGAGGCAAATTCCAGCTAATGGTGTTTGCACAGGTGGTGCAGCTGGACAAATTTGCTGTATGGGGCTGGTGGTAGGATTTAGAAAACCCTCAACCACACCGTTACACAGTTAGGCTTTACATGCCTAAGTCCGGGCAGTTCCTTTGCCCATGATGGTGCTACTTGTCGAGCCATGTGTGCATGGCTTGGATAGGCCAGCATTGAGAGCTACGTTTTTGGGCATCCAGCTGTTTACATGCCACCTGGGGTTAAGCCGGACCACATGGCTTCGATATTACCCCTAAACCCCAAACCCTAAACCCCAAACCGTTACCAATGTGTTGTCTAGGGATGCCTTTACATAGATGTGTCTTGCGGCAAGACTTCAGCCCGTAGAGCCCGTCTGCGCACCGTACCCCCTGAACCAAGCTCAGGACTATCCTCAAAACAGGCCTTCGGCTAAACTCTAAACCCTCTAAGCCCTATTCCGTGCAGTACGGAGCGTTTGCGCTCTGGGCTCTTGGCTTCTGAGGTTTAGGGGTTGCGGGATGTGTTGCCCTAATCCTCAGGCCTTTCATTAGGCTCAGGCTCCAAACCCTAAACCCAAAACCCTATACCCTAAACCCTAAACCCTAAACCCTAAACCCTAAACCCAGTCCTGCTTGGAGGCTCAGCCCTGAAGGTGCACATGCTCGTCTCCAGAGTGTACCTACCTACAGTCTCCATTGTAGTTCCCCTTTTTCTGGTTTAACCAAGTATATATGGGTGGTTGTCAAAATTATGGTCCCTTTTTGGGTCCTTATAATAATACGGCACCTATTATTTAGGGTACCCCAAAAGGGACCCTAATTTTGACAACCACCCATATTAAGGATTTTTGTAAGGTATTCCCAAAAAGGAACTACAATGGAGACTACAGGTATAGTCTCCATTGCAGGAGCCTACATATAGGACTGGTTAAACCAAAAACAGGAACTAACATGGAGACTTTCTCGCTAGGGTCTAGGGGCCCTCAACCCCAAACCCGAAACTCACAATCCTCGTTACTTTTGAAGCCTCGATTATTCCTCAGGGTTCCTTATATCACACTTATCACTATACTATAAAGGTTCCTTATATTACGCTTATTATTATACTATAAAGGAGCCCAGGGTTTCTAGATTATGAAGGTTGCTCGAAGCCAATGTTCGCCGTTTCATTCGGGCGCCCAGAATGATCTTTTTAAACCACTCAAGTTTGGGGTTTTAGGGTTTGGGGTCTAGGGTTTAGGGTATAGGGTTTTGGGTTTTGGGATTGGGGTTTTCCTTCAAGTAGGATTGACCAGAGTCGAAGCTCTGCCGAGTTGATGAAATTTCGAAGCGACCCCACCTAAAAGCCTAAGCCCTAATCAAACTCCTTGGATCCCTATAAAACCCTTCTGAGGTTCTAAAGCCTTTCCAGAAAACCTAAACCCCAAACCCAAAAGCCCTTGAAAGCCAAACTCCTCAAGCCATCAGTCCTCGCCGCACCTTCAGTGTTTAGGGTTTACGGTTGAGGACTTGCACAGGGTTTAGGTTTTAGGGTGCGGCCCTGAACTCCAAATCCTCGATCCAGGGTGGTGGCGCTGAGTTTCACTGCTTAGTCTGGAATGGACTCTCTTGGTTGGAGTGGTGCGGAGCCTCAGTCTCGAAGGTCTGGAGTAGGCTCTTTCCGTGAAGGGTTACTGTTCTTTCATTCCTCTAAGGGTTCCTGTAAGCTTTGCCTGAAGGCTTCCTTTTAGGGTCCCCTCAAAGCTTCTTGTAATAAGGCTTTGGGCCTTGGTGCTATAGTAAACCCCTCAAAAAGTTGGAAACCGCATTAAGGTCAACTAGTGCTGGGATTCCCTGTACACTACCCATGGGGGTTGAGGCTATTTGGTTTCCAACTTTTGGGCCTCTACTGTAGTTGGTGCCCACGAACAGCGGCCCTTGCAGGTTTAGTCGTGCCCACGACCAGGGGCTGCAAGACAACCCCACATAATATAGGGGCCTAAATACATACCGAAACTATTATAGGGCTCCTTATCATAATTGTGCTATAAAGGAGCCCGAAACCCTATTGTCAACGATTAAGGTCCCTACATCAACCCAGACTCAAGTTGCACAAAGCCTCAATCTCCGAAGCATGCCTCTTCTTGAGGCCCTTCTAGTAATATCGATTCAGGACTGATTACTGACATTAGTCCTTAGGGTTCCTTATTCTACTGACATGAGTCCTTAGGGTTCCTTATTCTACTGACATTAGTCCTTAGGGTTCCTTATTCTACTTATACTATGCAATACCACAAAGCCCCATTCTAGTCATTGAAGACCTTACAGTAAACTTGTGCCCAGTGTGGTTACCGTCTCTGGTGACCTCCTCCTCTTGAGCGGCCGCAAGACCATGGGTGAGGCTCTGGGTTTAGGGTTTGGGGCTTGTCAGGTTTGAGCTTGATGGGTTTAAGGCTTTTCAGTTTCAAGG